ATCTCGAGGATCTTCGATTGATCAAGCTGTTCATGGGTACCAGCTGGAACACGTAGTATTAGCACGGTGTGAAAAAAAACGATAGTGACGCTAGATGAATTAGCTTTAAGCTTCTTTCTCGCTAAGAGAGAACCTATTATTATATAACAAATATTTACATACATTTGTATTATTTGTAAACTAGCGCTAATACAAAACTCCAATTGTGCATCGACAAGACGCGACACAAGACCTAAAAGATCCATCCCGCCCTCGCCCCCCCCCTCACTCCGCTCCCCTCCTGCTCTCCTCATCAATCTTCCTCTGTCATTTCCCTCCCTTTTGCCCTACTCTCTATAAACTCTGTCCTTTATCGTCTGGCTCGTGCTCTAACGGGCGCTCCTTTTTTGTAAAACTAGTTTGATTTCTTCGTTCCGAGATCTCTGTAATCTTGCTCTATAACGTTTCGTCTATATATCTCTCTGTATATCGGGCCTTTTCTCCAATTGAAGAAGGAAAAAGAATAAATAAAAAAAAAGAGGAAGAGACGAGAACAAGACCTTACCTATCCCGACATGCTTCTCATAGTGTTGGATGGTAACGTTACAAGACAAAAGGAAAAAAAAAAACGTTAATTGAGCATTGTTATCTATGTAATACAACATAGGATGTTTTGTATTATATTTTCATAATAAATAGAAACGTAGAAAAAGACGTATTAACCACACTCGTGTCATTTCTCACTTGATACCCTTGTATCGCTCCAAATCCTTACTTTTTTGTAATTATTATATCTCTATCAAAAACTTCATTAAACACACAATAGTTTGCGTTCTTATTTTAATCATCAATTGGAGAAGTTAAGATATATTCTATGATGCATTGGGAGATTAATTTATATTTTATTTATTGAAAAATAATTAATTATACAGGGTGTCCCATAAGTCCCGGACCGGTCGAATATTTCATAAACTATGCACTTTAGAAAGAAATGTTTCAGACAAAAGTTGTATGGCTTGAAGGGGGCCATCAGATAGCAATAGTAGCAATGATTTGACATGGGAGAGTCATTTGAAAGTCACGTGAAGATCACCGTCAATTTCTTAAATGGAACCTCCTATTTTTTATTACATATTCGTGTAGCTTATCTCGAGAGCTTTCCAAAACACTATAATTAAATATTTTTTCATTGAGTACTTTTCGTGTTACGAGGCTTGAAATCATTTCTTAATTTTGCATAAACCATAAAATATCTAGTAAAATATTCATTTTTCGATTATCTTACTTTAATACTTTTATGTACAAAATAATGAGAGGAATCAATTGGTGTAAAGAAAACACATAGTTGTTTTAAAAAAAAAATGTAATTGTTAATTGCAAATTACATATTTTTTTCTTAAAAACAACTATGTTTTTTCTTTACACCAATTGATTCCTCTCATTATTTTGTACATAAAAGTATTAAAGTAAGATAATCGAAAAATGAATATTTTACTAGATATTTTATGGTTTATGCAAAATTAAGAAATGATTTCAAGCCTCGTAACACGAAAAGTACTCAATGAAAAAATATTTAATTATAGTGTTTTGGAAAGCTCTCGAGATAAGCTACACGAATATGTAATAAAAAATAGGAGGTTCCATTTAAGAAATTGACGGTGATCTTCACGTGACTTTCAAATGACTCTCCCATGTCAAATCATTGCCACTATCTGATGGTCCCCTTCAAGCCATACAACTTTTGTCTGAAACATTTCTTTCTAAAGTGCATAGTTTATGAAATATTCGACCGATCCGGCACTTTTGGGACACTCTGTATATTGAATAACAGTAAGTTGCAATTGTTTTCTATTTTAATAAGGTTTAAAAAAAATCTAAATTTGATTACATGAATCGAATATGATTTAATTTTTAATATAAGTTTAATTTTTAAGTTAAAAGAATTATTTTATATATTTATGTTATTTTACTTGTATATTTATTAAATTATAAAGTTTTTGAAATCTAATTAATTAAATTAGAAAATATATACATACATACATATAATATATGAGGGATATTTTATCAGGATATATTATCGTATTACGTGATTACTTTATCTGTAACTTTATCTATAGCTTTATTTTATTATATTTGATGTATGATATAAATTGTGAGAAAGTGAAAACTTGGAATACTTGGAATTCTTGTTTTTGATCGTATGAAAAACAACGGAGAACACGAGCGAGTTAAGGAAACCTGTTACGAGGAATTGCAATCGATTCCGTCATTTCGAGGCGATGGTGAAAAACAGGTGTTGGGAAAAACAGGCTATATTTTCAACGCGTGCCAAAAGATTGAACGATATTTCTCAGAAAAATCACGGCTTTCGACTGTAAAAAAAATATGGAACATAGACGATTTTAAAATATTCGAATTTTGGTATATTTTTCCAATGTGAGTTAAAAAATGAGAATAATTAAGATTTTTTAATTTAGTTGCAAAAAGAGAGGAAATGCTTTCAATTTCTCTGTTAATCCTAAAAGTTTTTTCACGAAAATGGTTTCAGTTTATAATATGTAAATTAAATTATTTTATCTTGTATGCAACCATTTTCTTAGAGAAGAGCGACATTAGTTAATTAATAATTATTTAACCAAAATATTCGCATGTAGAAATTATTCAACGATTTGAATAGCAATTTTACGCCTTTCTTTTAATATTTTAATATATTTTAAAAAGCAAATGTATGAGAAAATGAAGATGGATTATATCGCGTTTCACTTGTAAGATTTTCACCAAATATATTCATTATCTATTTGCATATTGTATTCCGTTCAAGCGAAAGCCGTTCAAAAGGGAGCTTTAAAGAAATGGAAACTAGAGCAACGTATTCTAGTTAGAACACATGTATCGAGTTTGATGTTCAGGCACGTATCACTCGATATTCAGGCACGTATTATTGGCTCAAGCTCGAGTGGCTCCGCGAAATCTATAGAAGCGGTCACGTATCAGCTCTTTTATTATGAAGCTTCCATACACCCTTCCACGATTACTAACACAAGAATAAGTACGCGAACGTGTTGAGCTCTATTCAGCTTTGCTTTCGATCTCGATCAAATTCCGCACATTTGCACACCGTTCTTTACAGCTCGTTGCATTGTTGCCGCATGTGACAATAAATGCAAATTTTTATACAATTCTGATTGTTTCAATCGTAATCTGTAAGTATTTATTGACTATTTCAACAGAGATTTGCAAAACTTTAGTATTTTTTTGTTTATTTGTGAAATCTTGTAATAACATGTAATGGCTTTTGAATAAAAATTTTATCGCTCGCAAAAATTTCTATTTTACTCTCTAAAAGTGAATTAGTGAAAATATCACTAATTTAAACAATAAAATAAGATTTCACTGAGAATCAGTGAGTATTTTACTGATTTTCAGTGAAAACGCTTATTTTTTTGTTATTTTACCTTATATCTCACTGATTATGGTCAGTTAAAATAAAATTCACTGTAAAATCAGTAAATTTCACTGTAAAACCAGTAATCGCTAGTTCGTTCATTTACCGCTATGATTGCTATTTCTCTCGTATTTAATTTTAGTTATAAGAGTTACATAAAGTTGCAAAGAACGACATTTAAAATTAGAAGTATTACTTCGATTTAATTTCTGATACAATCTCATAGAGAGGCTTCAGATATTAAATCGATCTTTATAAGTCGGACAAATAAATGTCTGGCGACTTAATGAAAATTATTCGTTCGTTATCTATTTAAAATAACAAGTTCAATATGCATGTAATATAAATAAAATAAAATTTTTAATATAATAAATATTTAGTAAATATAAATAAAATTTTTAATTTCATATGAAATAGATAGAGAGATGAATTATAGTTTAATATTACTGATAATAACGAAAAAAATATTACTGATACTGAGAAATATTACTGATTGAAACAGTCAAAATTATTAACTGATTCTTTCAATAAAATATCACTGATTTACAGTGCTGTACTTATAACTGCTGTAATCAGTGACTATTTACTGTTTTTCAGTGATAATACACTGATTCACTTTTAGAGAGTATTTTCCTTATTAAATATCTCAAATTTTAGCTTAATTTAAAATTTTAAGAGTATAAACACATATAAATAATATATATTATATCTGATTTACACGCATACATGTTTAAATTTTTTTTTAAATTTCCTTAAAAATTATAAAATAAAATTTAGAGAATAAATTTATATATAATATTATATACCGTATTTAAAATAATGTGCAGTTTTCTCCATTAGGTTGCATCTTGAATAACACTCTTGGGAATCTTTTAACCTTGTATATGTTACTCGTTCTAAACAACACATGAACGTTATACATTTACATCAGAGATACTACGAAATTTATCACAGCTGATAAAAACGGCAAACAAGTAGATGCAAATAAATATAGCGGCGCCGCTTGAGCTTATGTATGAACGCAATAAAATGCGGCTTCTAATACAGCACATTACAACGATACAAATGTATGCATTTGAAAAAACAGTTACTGATTGTTTAGATTTAGAATATTAAAAACCGTATATTTTTCACACTTTAAAATACTGCAAGATATCTAAGACAATTCAAAGTATATATATATATTTATTTTTTATTCATTATATTCATTTTTATTTATCCATTTTTTATTTTATTTTTTTATTCCTTCCTATTTATTTTTATTTTTTGAATACATGTAATTTCTTCTGTAACGAAATTCAGAAATTTATTAGAAGACAACAATTTGATTAAATATGGAATTAAGGATAAATTAATTAATCTAATAACAAATTAATCTAATCGTTAAGTTGCACATTTTTCTGTTTTTATGATATATCTGGCAATCGAAATAAAAAAAACGTCAAGTCAAGAGTAACGTTGAATGAGGCAAATGGCTCGAGAGAAACGTTCGTTCGTTAAATGAGAGGTCAAGCACAATCATTTATGTTGTGTGTATTTTATGTCAGTTCGAATTATCGGGTTTAATGAATATCATGCGCCCAATGAGCTCTGATCAGTCGTATCTGCGCAAACAAGGAATGAGAGAAACTTGACGCGAATACGTAACAGTACAGCAGTGCTATCCAACGTTCGATGGATTAAGGTAGAATAGATTTCGGATTCTAAGTTTATCGTATCGTCCTAAAGCGATACAACAAACTTATCGCGAAGAAGAATAACAAGAGAGAGATTACCAGTCTAAATCTTGCACCAGTATAAATAACACAGTGTATGTACATCTACGGACGATGAGACAGCGGCAAAATGGGAAATTCCAAGTCGACCAGCGAGGAAAATCTGGTAAGTAATATTTATGAGAGAAAGCGAAATTTTTAAAAATTTTTTAAAATTTGTAAAAAGAGGACTTTCCTCTTTTTTAAGAAATATCCCTCCCAAAAAATCATAGACGTCATATTTCTCACATAATGTAATTATGTAGATACATACGAGCAAATAATCAAGAAGTACAAATTAGAGGAACACAAGTATACTTCTTAGAGATAACGATATATACAAGGTGTCCCAAAAGTTCCCTACCGGTCGAATATTTCATAAACTATACACTTTAGAAAGAAATGTTTCAGACAAAAGTTATATGGCTTGAAGGGGGCCATCAGATAGCAATAGTAGCAATGATTTGGCATGGGAGAGTCATTTGAAAGTCACGTGAAGATAACCGTCAATTTCTTAAATGGAACTTCTTATTTTTTATTAAATATTCTAGCTCACGTCGAGAGCTTTCCAAAACACTATAATAAAGAATTTATTGAGTACTTTTCGAGTTATGAGGCTTGAAATCATTTCTTAATTTTACATAAACCATAAAATATCTAGTAAAATATTCATTTTTCGATTATCTTACCTTAATACTTTTATGTACAAAATAATGAAAGGAATCAATTGGTGTAAAGAAAACACATAATTGTTTAAAAAAAAAAAATGTAATTGTTAATTGCAAATTACATATTTTTTTTTTAAAAACAATTATGTTTTTTCTTTACATCAATTGATTCCTCTCATTATTTTGTACATAAAATTATTAAGGTAAGATGATCGAAAAATGAATATTTTACAAGATATTCATAGATACTCAATGAAAAAATATTTAATTATAGTGTTTTGGAAAGCTCTCGAGATAAGCTACACGAATATGTAATAAAAAATAGGAAGTTCTATTTAAGAAATTGACGGTGATCTTCACGTGACTTTCAAATGACTCTCCCATATCAAATCATTGCATCACTATCTGATGGCCCCCTTCAAGCCATACAACTTTTGTCTGAAACATTTCTTTCTAAAGTGCATAGTTTATGAAATATTCGACCGGTCCGGGACTTTTGGGGCATCCTGTATAATCTTCTATACTTCTAAATTGTATTTATTTATTACGAAAAATTTGATATCACTATGCAAACTGAGAATTATATACAACCCTAAATCTGAACGCGAGTCTAAGTACATAGATTTAAATTCCTTCCCCCCTCCCCGCCTCCTCCCACCCTTGTATTAGAGCGATCATGCATGCGAAACGTTTGCACAATCATCGTTTGCATTATTTCAACATTTACAACTATCAAATTGATTGTTTGCTCTTCCAGAGCATATTATATCAGAGAACGAAATTCAGTTCAAGTACACGCAAACTGTACAAGTTTACATTTGAACACACGCACGCACGTGTCACGGATGAAAAATTCATAGCGCATATCAAACCTGCGGAATTTTATCTCTGATTTTTATGCTCTCCTTATTTATAAAATGTTAAAAGAAATGAAACTCGCCTTAAATTCGTCGTGACTACCTGCGATATGATCGATAACGCTTCGTATTATCAAAATCATATTTTTCTTTTTCAGCTGAGCTCCAGCGTAACAAGCTACGGAGGAGGTACGTTTTGCTTGATATCTTTCGCCGTGACATAAATATTGAGGAAATTTGCTCGTTGATTAATTGCCGTAATATATCTCGCGAACGATGCGCTTGAAAAAAAAAATATTTCTTCGTTAAACGCTCATAAATGATTCTACTCTCCGTTTTTATACGTTATTCGCTATTCGTACATATTTTTTAAATTGATGCCCGGATACTGCTGAAAGTTCAGACATAAAAAATTTCATAGTTATTTAAAGGTTATTTAGAGATCATATCCACTTCATATCGTGACCAACAAAGTGCATACAGCGTCATTTAAAAAATGCAAGAATCTTGTATTTCCGACATGTGCAAAAAATAAAACTGTTTTCAAACACAATTTATCGTTTCAGGCAGTTGAAAAAAAATTTTTTAAATAATTATTATATACTTACTCTAAAAATAAAATCGTCAGAAATGTGCTCCGAAATAGTGCATTCAAAATGCATTAGGATATTTATGATGTCTAATGCACCTTGAGGCGATTTCGTAATGAAAAAAAAATTTACACGCCTCTCGTCGCATATCGATGCGTTTGCCCGCGTGATTTCTCAAGATCGGGAGAGAAATCGACCGATATTCATTGTTCCTCGCAGAAACACCTCTGTTTGATTAGGGCCAATAAACTAAACGGTAAAGTCACGCTGACGCAATCGGATGAATTCCCTCGAGATTCCGTGAGTAGAATTTCGGCGGGCGGCGAGACCGGCAGTGTTTGTCGTCTATTTAGGTGCGACCCGTTAAACGCGTAATCAAAATTGTCTTACAGAAACGAACACGTCGCGATTTACGCGAAAAAAAAAAGAATCAGTGAAACGAATTTCTCTTCGTCAACAACAAGAGATCCTATTATCGCACGTTTCTTTTATTTTCCTTTCCTTCTTCGATTTATCGTGCAATAGATCTCTCTTGGATGTGACATTTTCTCCTCAGAATTGGATCAGAAGGACGTTCGCTGTTATTGTTAAAATATATAAGTACGAAGGAATGAACTATCTTATGATTTTTTTTCACATATATAATAATAATAAATAAAATGAAGAGCTTTAAATTAATATTAAATAGATTAATTAATGTAAATTGTGTGTTATTAAAGTCTATTTAAGGATGTTTTGTTTGTACAATCGCAAGAAAAAGTAGCTGAAAATCAATATTGACGAATATATCCACTTTTGGTGTATTTTGAGTAAGAAATTGTATGGAATGTTACAATTTGATCTTGGCTACAGTGCAGAGATGTATTTTTTAATATTTATTGCTTTTTTTACTGAAATATTGATCCGAATTTTGTTAAGGATGTATTGGAGATATATTACAATCAATGAAGTCGCCGTGAATTTTTAATTTAACATTCTTAATAATATTCTAAATCACATCATAAATTATTTCAAATTTTTTTACTTGTTCCTTTAAAAGTTATTAATTTTTGAATTTTGCGATTTTAATATAGGATCTTATGTAAACGTTCAAGAGACAGATAATAAATTATTCACAAATAATAAAAGAACGATGATAAAAATTTCATTTTGTAATATTATATTCTTCATACATGTAAAAATGTTCCCATAAAGTTTTAAAACGATTTACTTCCTTGTTTTGAAATTACTATTAAAAAAATAACTGTGATTATCGGTTTGACGCAATATTGATGATAAAACGTGGCAACATTTTCTTGGAAATTAAGACCTATTTATATTAAAGAATACTTTGAAGTATGATTTCGTGATTTTTAAAAAATTTTTGATCAATTAGAATTCGTATTCTGCCCAACTTTAATTTTTTGGTACTTTGGATTAACTTTTGAGACAGACGATCCAATACATCCTTAACTTTTGGCAGAGAATTTCGCCTTGTGACAGATACATGACTAACTTCATTGAATTATATTTAATATCTTTTTAACGAGTTAGTACTTGTATAATATTATTTGACCAAATATTTCCTCTCTATCTAAACTTTTGCAAATTTTAAACAAATTCTGAATATTATTTCCACGTGTTTCTGTCATTTGAATCGACGTGGTTATACGTTTCCCATAAGAACACATGTTAATTCGATGCAAATTAAAATCCTTATAACTGTACAATTTTCATTAAATTCTCAATATTTTGAAAATAGATACAAACATCCTTACATTTTTGAAATCTATTAGTGTGTGGATACATGTATACACATTGAAAATTATCTATTGTTTTATTTCGAAGCTATGTAGGGAGCGATAATTTTTCACGCACGTGTGATTTATGATAACACAATGAATGAGGAAAATTGGCGGCGAACGATGTCTCGACATAAACTCAATCCATCCTTGTCACTCCATTTCGTATAAGTATACACGTAATTTGACAACAAATGGATTTAGAAATCCCGAATTTACAAGCACATTAAATTAATCCATTGACACCAACGTGATTAAATTGTGATAGAAGCCGAGGAAGATTCGTGTCTGTTGTTTCCGCGCGATTTGCTTTCTCGTAACACGCGGTATATGATGATATATTACTCCAGGGCAAATGATATATGTCACGTCGCGATTATGAATCTTTTGAAATTTGTTATATAGCACACGTGTGCACTGTCATCGGAAGCAGCGTATTGCATTATGCGTTCGTTTATCACCGCGTGCACTTGCGGTCTGCGAAACCGCGCGCGCGAATAATTATCGAATTGGCAGTGATTAACGCGAGCTATAGTTGATTCGAGTATAATAAAATCGAGTTCAGTCAACCGAATATCTCTAATTTTAACCTCATATCGCGAAGAATATGCTGGTTGCTTCTGTGCTTTATTTTTTTATTCAATAATTGCTACAGTGGATTATACATATTTATATGTTACAGTAAGTTTGCAATGATTACACAGACCGACAAAATTTGGTCAAACCTCAGACCCAGAAACCAGAATATACTTTTTCGAAGGTTTTCGACGCGCTGAGTTCGAATCCAAGGTCAGAATTTCTCTGATGATTCCGGTTTTCGAGATATTCTAATCTAAAAGTGCCAAAATCACAATTTTTCGAGATATTTGAGGTTATGTTATATCGCAAGGTAATTTTTTTTTCATAAAACCATTAATGGGATTCGAAAGAACTACTCTTATTCTTTAAAAAACATTTTGATTTGTCCGGATATCTTTTTTTATCTTTGAGAAATTGAATGTTCAAATCGGATTCGAATTCAGCGCGTTAAAAACCTTAGGAAAAGTATATTCTGGTTTCTGGATCTAAATTTTGTCGGTCTGTGTTATTAAATTGATATAAAACCAATCATTAAATGCGTTTAAAAAAAATATCAATACTTAATCAAACGCGATCTGCTTTATTTTATAAGAAATTCGTTATCTGTTTTTTAATTTGTCAGTCACATTTTATGATAATGCTCACACAGGAAAAAAGAACATTCTTGAAAATATATTTATTTTTTTATTTAATGGATATATTTATTTTTTATTTAATAGATATATTTATTTTTATTTAATAGAAATCTTGAAATGAGATTATATTGTTAATTGAAGAAAAATATAATTGTTTGAATAATTGCTTGCCTGAATGAAGCCATTTTATATAATTCAATCGAGAAAAATATATTCTTATAATTTAAGATTTAATTTTCTTGAATAGAAAACAAAAACAATGTTAGATAGAAAATAATTTTTGAATCATTTTTTAATCAAAGATTATAATTTTCTTAAAGTGGAATTAAATAATTATATATTCTTGAGGTGACAATTACAATATTAAAATAAGACTGTAATATTGAAATGTTGAATTGTAATGTTGAAATTTAATTTGATTTGACACTTTTTTTCTGTGCAATATATCTACATTTTAAAATGTTTCAAAAATAACAAACTTTGTTATTATATTTTTAGAAGGAATAATTGTTATAATATCGCGGTAGCGAACCTTAAGAAATAGAAGTGCTGTCGCACAGTAAAAGATAATTCAAAAATATGTAAAAATATGTGAAGTTGCCACTCTTTGTTCTTGTTCATTATTTATGCGGTTAACTCAAAGTTTCATAAATCTTTTGCTTTTATAATAAATTAACGATGTAATATACATATGTATATTGTGTCGTTATTTTTTCATGACGTTACGTTTCGATACGTCACGTTTATTAAGATAATTTTTCTTACCTTTACTGTATCAAACGTCTTAAATGGTGTTCGGGATATCTATTAACAGCTGTCTAATGTCTTATTTCATTATCTACTTATCTAAAAGATTACTTATCTCAATCAGTGCTTTCAGCTGAATCCAATAAGTAGTACAAAATCTTGAATGTAAACTATGTATTAGGTGGTAGGATAAGTGACAGATATGACTGTATTAGGTGATGCGTACATTTTGTGTTCATTAAAAAAATTATCTCTATTGAAAATATTGAATCAGGATATCGGCCAATTACATTGACAATAAAACTGAATAGTACCGACTAGTGGCGCGTTACAAACGCTCATTTAGTTAACAGATCTACTTAGCTCGTGAAAGTTCGCTTATCATACCACGAGACAGAATCGTGAATAATCGAGTTCCGAGATACCTCAAGATACATTTTCACGATGTCAACAGGTAGTTTGTGACCAAAATACTAATAATTATATTATTAAATATTGATATCGTTGCGTAATTTAATTTTAATCGTGATAATATTCATTGATGATTGTAATCAATTAGAAAGTCGCATTATTAAATTAATCGTGTGAACGCCAATGTGACGCCTTACATTCAGATCTTACAATTAGTTTACCTCGATTGCATTAAACTTTTGTAATATTTAATAGATTGACTTGAGTTTATGAACTTGAAATTATGTTAAAATTTATCGTTTCTTTTTTCGTTTCACGTAATAGAGTTTTTACATCAAATTTTAAAAGAAATAATGGAAGAAATAGTTATACATATATATTTCTTCTACTAAATCTATTATTTCTTTTAAAATTTCAAATAAAATTTCTGCTACGTAAAACGAAAAAAGCAATACATTTTAACATAATTTATATATACCTATATATATATATATATATATATATTTTTTTTTTTTATTTATTTATTACCACTCATTTAATAAAAAAAAAATAATTTTTAATGGTACATCGATCTTTGGTCAAGTTATCGCACATTGTAATTTAAATTTTCCGAAATAATGACTGTAAACATTTACCAATAAAACTTGTCAAACGCGAACCATACAATTCTATCGTATAACTCGATCGCATATTATCGATTACGTGATCAATTTCTTTCGACAATGCCGGCCATGCCAAACTAATCTTTTCATAATACTCGTTTCGGTTTACATCGAACAAACGAAATTTGCTTGCCTTAACCTAATAGAAAGGTTGCAAGCTTGATAGATTGCGCTCGTTGTTTACCGAAGAATTCTTGGCGATTATATCGCGCGATTAATACGTCATTTTAACAAAATACGCGTCATTAAATGTGACAAGCGTATGACATGCTTAACAAAACATGTGTACACACATAAATATAAACATAAATATCTCCTCACTTACTTAATCCATAATCTGTCGAATAAAATAAATCCTATTTCATTTTATTTTTGCATACGTTAGTTTTATTCAGGCGTTTCTAAATTTTTATATTATTGATAAATTATTTTCTGCAATATCTGTATCTTTTCACATCATTACACGATTTTACTTAAATTATATTTTATTAAAATTTATTAAAATATTTTATTAAAATTATTTTTTTAAATTATTAAAATAAAATAATCAAAATATTATGTTTAATTTAAATTCAATATCTACATTTTTCTCCAATGCTATAAATTATGTTGAGGGCTCTTCAAATCATATGAGTCATTCGATAATGAAGATAAAAATAATAAGGTTCCGTTTATCTAATCTACTAATTATCTACTAATTATATTCATTAACTTGAATGACCGAACACAAGAAAAAAATTCGAACTTTTCCATGTTACGAGGATAATTTCTATAAGTTTTTAATTTCATTCAACTATTATTCGTTCGTAGACTACTGGAGCGACGACATGTCGGCGACTGTTCCAGAATTGACAGTCAGACGACCGATCTATCAGCAGGACGAACTTAATCACTTGTGTAAATATGTGAAACCCAAAAGAACCCGTAAGTGTCAAAATCCCTTCAACATGAATGAAGATACTATTTATTTATTTATTTTATCACTTTAGCCTCACACTTTTTCGACAAATCATCTTTCCGTGCTCGAAACATTAACCGTTATTAATAAAATCGTTATTAGTTGAAATTGATATAAACCGATTGACAGAGAACGCATTAAGATTCTAAGAAAGGTCATCGTTTTTTTCAAAAATTAAGTAGAATTATATCTATGCTAGAAAAAATTTAAAGTTTCATGGTTTTAATAAACTTGAGATAATTGTTACAAATTACTCGATATTCTTTAATAATAATTCAATTGTATTTGAAACATATAAAGTAGAATTGCTTTAAAATTTTATAAGCGAATTATTCTTCTTGTTCTTCTTTCTCTCTCTCTCTCTCTACATTACTAAAAACATTACATGACATTATATATTTAATATTTGATGATATAATAATTTGATATATTTAAAAAATAATGAAAATATTAAGATTCTCTTTTTTCAGTTATTATTTAATTTAATCACAAAAACTTCTGGTTTTCTTTAGTTAGAAATGAAGTGTCAAGACGATGCAAAAATATCAAGCCAATTAAGCTTTTAAAAAGTTCAATACCTCTAATCGACTGGTTTTCTTCGTACGATTGGAAGAACAATATTTTGGGAGATATTATTGCCGGAATTACTGTTGCTGTAATGCATATTCCACAAGGTATGTTGCACTATATGATTCCGAAATGATAATGTATAATATATTGATATTGGTGAGAGGGCTCATTAACTGGAAGGTTTAGTCTGAAAAGGAAAATAAGTATCCAAACGCGATCTTTTAACGTTTATAAAACGGTTTCATCGATAATAATTTGTTTAAATTTTGCGAATTCATACATATCATTTTTCTATGGATGATTCGTTTCATATTAATTAATTAATTATCACGCGCATTTTCATTAATATTGACATAAATTCGCGAGTGAATTCAATGCGCGAATGTCTGATAAATCTTAAGAAATCTGAGAGGAGAAGGAAAAAGTTTAGGAAGCATCAAGCAACGGCGGAACAATTTTGAGGTAATTAATTTTTTTAATATGTTAATTTGATATCAATCCCGCACGCGCTTTTCGATTTTTTTAAATTTTGTCCTTCTTTATTATATTATATATTTATTTGAATGATTGATTTGGATGATTTAAACAAGAATTTGAAAAATAATTTTTAAATATCCTTTAAAATGTATTTACAAAAATAGTTGTTCGAAAATTATAATATAATTATTTCAAAATATCTGCTGATTTTCTTGTATACATCAAACATGAAATGCGATGCACAAAATAATAATTTTTTGAAATATTAGTGATTTTGAGTATACAACTTAAATTTTATATTAGTATGTTACAGATCAAGATAATTTACGTAATCCACTCCGCTATTGCATATCGATTGAAATGAGTGAAAAACTTTTACCTCATGATAAAGAAATGCCAAATACATATATCTTAACATACATTTTGCCTTCCTAATTTTTTTTCAGTTATTTATTGCATTATTAAAAGTTTGGATACTTATTTATTATTATATTTATGGCTTGTTGTACGGGATACTTATTTATATACGTAGTTTAATGCGTATTTAATGTTCTATTTCGTTCTCTTTTCTTTCTTCTTTTCAAGAAATGTCTTTGTATATTTTGTTCTATGAATATTCGATAATACTTATCATCATAACTACGAATTCTAGTATCTCTTGTTATACTTATCCGGTGATTCGTATATTATTTAAGGCTCTATTGTCGATATTGTTCTCATAGGTATGGCGTACGCTATTCTGGGCAATGTTCCGCCAATTGTTGGTATATACATGGCTTTCTTTCCGGTTCTGGTGTATTTTTTTCTCGGCACATCCAGACACAACTCCATGGGTAAGCGTATTTTGTAGATTATATTAAAAAAAAATTAAAGAACACGGAACATAAACGAACATTGTTCATATTAAAATAATTTAATCCAGAGGTCAACAAATTATTTAAATTAATGCAAACCTTCGAGTCAATGTTTATTCAGAAATTACGTTTAGCTGCTACTTAATTCAGAGAGCACCGTAATTAAGCAGGATTGCCGCTTCTATGTTAATTAAGGTACATTCGCGCTCATCTGCATGATGACTGGAAAAGTCGTTACCACATACAGTACCAGTGCAATTTCGGCAAATAGCACGTCAACCGAGAACGGCACCTTCATTTCCGACATAAGCCATCAATACTCGCCGGTGGAGATTGCAACTGCAGTCACATTTACGGTTGCAGTTATACAGGTATAACAACTTTATATATATTCCAAATCCAATTATTTAATTATATTATATTATATTATATATAATTAATTTAATGCTCTCTATGAAAATCACCATTTTTTTGTGCTTTCAACTTTTTCTTTGCTACATCTTTCTTCCGGAATCATTTTAAGTTAATCTATTTAATTATTTATTAAAAAATTAAAAATTAATTTAAATTTTAAATACCTTTTTATCCCTCTTCATCTCTTTAAAGAATCCAATTTAATAAATTATTTAGTATTTTACTTAGTATTTCGGTTGGCTCATTTTAATTACTTCGTTTCCACAATCTGGGGTATGTTTATACATTTCGCTCCCTTGACCTTTCTTGCGTATTGCTCAAAATATTTCATCTAGTTAGGAATGTACGTGCTGCGTTTGGGCATAATCTCGTCTCTCCTTGCGGACAGCCTCGTGAGTGGATTCACGACTGCAGCGGCATTGCACGTGTTTACATCGCAAATAAGGGATCTCTTCGGGCTGAGCGACCTGCCACGACGCAAGGGTGCGTTCAAGCTTATTCTCGTGAGTACAGTAACGGCTAAGTTTTGTTTGGCGATGCAAACATTAGTCGAGTCTTCTCTCTAACTGAAATGAGTACGGCACCACTAATACACTTCTGCTCTTACGTTTCTTCTTCTTGTTTTTCCTTTTTCTTTTTCGTCGTCAAACATATAACGTTTGCACTCGACAAACATTTAAGCAATCGTGGCGAACGCTTCCTGTAGATATATCTCATGTAATCAAGTTGTAATTTAAACGCTGAGAGTATATTACGTGATATGTATGCAAAGATTACGTGAGGTTGCCAAAAGGTCAGGGAGCGTGAATCGCGATATATAATATCTCATTAATAGAAACTAGTAATAAAAATTATTTTTGACAATACACAAAAACAAAATTCAATATACAGGGTGTCTCAAAAGTCCCGGACCGATCGAATATTTCATAAACTATGCACTTTAGAAAGAAATGTTTCAGACAAAAGTTGTATGGCTTGAAGGGGATCATCAGATAGTGGCAATGATTTGACATGGGAGAGTCATTTTAAAGTCACGTGAAGATTACCGTCAATTTCTTAAATGGAATTCCCTATTTTTTATTACATATTCGTGTAGCTTATCTCGAGAGCTTTCCAAAACACTTAATTAAATATTTCTTCATTGAGTACTTTTCTAGTTATGAGGCTTGAAATCATTTCTTAATTTTACATAAACCGTAAAATATCTTGTAAAATATTCATTTTTCGATCATCTTACCTTAATACTTTTATGTACAAAATAATGAGAGAAATCAATTGGTGTAAAGAAAAAACATAGTTGTTTTTAAGAAAAAAATATGTAATTTGCAATTAACAATTACATATTTTTTTTTTAACAACTATGTGTTTTCTTTACATCAATTGATTCCTCTCATTATTTTGTACATAAAAGTATTAAGGTAAAATAATCGAAAAATGAATATTTTACTAGATATTTTATGGTTTATGCAAAATTAAGAAATGATTTCAAGGCTCATAACTCGAAAAGTACTCAATAAAGAAATTCTTTATTATAGTGTTTTGGAAAGCTCTCGACGTGAGCTACTAGAATATTTAATTAAAAATAGGGAGTTCCATTTAAGAAATTGACGGTGATCTTCACATGACTTTCAAATGACTCTCCCATGTCAAATCATTGCTACTATTGCTATCTGATGACCCCCTTCAAGTCATATAACTTTTGTCTGAAACATTTCTTTCTAAAGTGCATAGTTTATGAAATATTCGACCGATCCGGGACTTTTAGGACACCCTGTAGATATAATTATAGCACTGATTTCAAAGAACTATGTTAATAGCAATTGCACTGAGAAAAATCGTTTGATTGTACCAAGACGTATATGATTGAAGGCATTTTGGTTAAATCAAACAAGAATTTCTAGTTATTATGATAAGACTCAATTTTTTATAACTAAAACGTTTAATAGATTTTACTATAAGGATTTGGTTAATATTTTCTGGTTGGATTTATAAAATTTCTTGTTACATTAATTTCTTTGCTTGCCACTAGGCGAGTTACATTAATTTCTTTGCTTGCCACTCTTAACTCATACTCAATATTTGCCATTAAATGTATATAAAGAACTAGTATTAACATTAAATCCAAAGTATATTTTTTTCTCTTACGAGCAGTAGTGCCAAAAAGAGGACGTTAGCTCTCTGATTGTGTGTGTTTGAGCTGCATCCTCTTCTTGCATCACTGTTTATCAGTTTAATTCCTAACAAACTGAATTTAAAATAATTTATTTAATAATCTGGATTGAATTTATCCAATAATCTTGTTGGAATTCAAAATATTAAACAAACTTTTGAAATTAGTTGGAAAAAATTTTAGACGACTTGGTGCTGATAAGTTTAGTATTATTAACCAGAAAATTTAGTAAATTTAACAGGAAGAAATTAATCAGATTTATCTGATAATTCCTACAAGAATTCTGGTTCGTCCATTTTCCAACAGACTTACTGGTTGAACCTATCAGAATTCTAATTAATGCAACCCTATCAGAATTCTAATTAATGCAACCAGATTTTTTCTCAGTGTGATAACACAATTGTTACGAGAAAATGCTCTATTATAAAACAGTTGAAATAGCACGGCAAAAAATATAGATTTTTTATTATGTCGATTGCTTCAATTTTCTTTTTAAAAAAATTCCAAAACGTCAGTATTTCTTTTCATTAAACGATGCATCAAATTCCTGACAATTTTTGTTATGTGTATATTTTTAGTTTTCATATTCTAAAAATATAAAACGCAAAAAAAGTAATAGATAACACGTTTTTACAACGTATTTTCGTTTATTCCAAATATATTTATTACACTTATTACTTTATAAATTACTATTTTGTGTGATTTTGGCTCTGATATTATTATAATTTCAGCGGAATAAATTTTTATTTCAACTTAATACAGCACGAATGATTTTTTTCAGACTTATGTAGATATTTTCAACAATTTCAACGATATCAATACAACAGCCGTAATATTATCTTGCATCACTATCTTAGCACTTATTTTCAATAATGAAGTTCTTAAGGTTAGTAAAATACGTAATTATGCTTTTTGAGTGAAACAAAGAATGTATTCTTGCCAGAAAAGCATGTACCATTTTTTTGCATTCTAAAAAGAAATAATTTGAATTTCAGCCAAGAGTCTCAAAGTTATGTTCCTTCCCAGTTCCTATAGAAATGCTTGCAGTAGTAGTTGGTACTGTGGTATCAATGCAAATGAATCTAGCGGATACTTACGGCGTAGTAACTGTCGGCGATATACCGGTGGGGTAAATACTTTTTGAATCTTTAAACATTTGATCGATTTATCTTTTACAGCTTTTAGTGAAAAATTTGTAGTCTATTGCGAGAATATCATTTTCGTATGATTATATTAAAAATAATTTCGAAAATTTTATACATCTTTGAAAAAAAAAATATATATTTTAATATTGAAAAAATAAAATTATTAAAATATATACATATACTTTACATCACAAGGAAGCTGTGAAAGTAAACTATTAAAATAAACTTCAAACTATCATAATGTCAAGATTTTTAGATTGCCAGTCCCATCAATACCACCGTTATCGCTTATACCTAACATCTTAGTGGACAGTTTCGTGATTACCATGGTCGCTTACACAATATCGATGTCTATGGCATTGATTTTCGCGCAAAAGATGGGTTATGAAGTTGATTCCAATCAAGAATTGATAGCGCAAGTAAGCATTGAAAATATAATATATTTATAGCATATTCAAACATGAATATCGAAATGTATTCAAAAAAATATATTTAAAAAAAATAATTTTTATCTTAATTATCATTTTCAATTAGACTATTTCCTTTCACTATATGTATAATATATTAGAAGCTGATGTTGCCTTTAATAAATTTAATAAGTATAAAAATATCAATATATTTCAAGAAAGTGGAACATTTAATTCTTTTTGCAGGGATTAGGTAATCTTGTAGGCTCCTTCTTTTCCTGCATGCCTATCACGGCTTCATTATCCAGAACGTTGATTCAGCAAACTGTTGGCGGACACACACAGCTGGCAAGCTTGATATCATGTGCAATCCTAGTCAGCGTATTACTATGGATCGGGCCATTCTTTCAACCTCTGCCACGAGTAATTATTCTCCTTCGATTTCGTATGATATTTTCATTTAAGGATGTTTTGTACCTATTTTAAAAATATTGAGAATTTAATTAAAATTGTACAAAATGTCCTTACATATGTTTAGAATCTTCAGTATAATTTTTAAATCAATTCACTAAAGCGTTCACGTTATAAGGATTTTAATTTGCACCGAATTAATATGTGTTCTTATGGGAAACGTATAACCACGTCGATTCAAATGACAAAACTACATAATATTCAACAAAATAATATTCAAAATTTATTTAAAATTTGCAAAAGTTTAGATACAGAGGAAATATTTGGGCAAATAATATTATACAAGTACTAACTGGTTAAAAAAATATTATATAATTCAATGAAATAAGCCATGTATCTGTCACAAGGCGAAATTCTCTGCCAAAAATTAATCATTAATCATTTCGATTAACAAAATTCATATTTCAGTAAAAACGCAATAAATATTAAAAAATACATCTCTGCACTGTAGATTAAATTGTAATATTCCACCCAATTTCTTACTCAAAATACACCAAAGTGGATATTCGTCAATATTAATTTTCAGCTACTTTTTGCTGGGGTTGTACGTATAAAACATTCTTACATCATGGATATATTTATTCGTTTTTTTTATTATCTATTTTTATCTATTTTTTTCTATGAAACTTCTAAACAGATTATTAATAACTATTAAGGATGTTTTGTACCTGTTGTCAAAATATTGAGAATTTAATGAAAATGTACAGAATGTACATTTAATTGTACAGAATGTCCTTACATATGTTTAGAATCTTCAGTACAATTTTTAAATCGATTCACTAAAGCGTTTACAAGTTATAAGGATTTTAATTTGAATTAACATGTGTTTTTATGGGAAACGTATAACTACGTCGATTCAAATGACAAAAACACATGGAAATAATATTCAGAATTTGTTTAAAATTTGCAAAAGTTTAGATACAGAGGAAATATTTGGGCAAATAATATTATACAAGTACTAATTGGTTAAAAAGATATTAAATATAATTCAATGAAGTTAGCCATGTGTCACAAGACGAAATTCTCTGCCAAAAGTTAATCATTTCGATTAACAAAATTTGGAATATTTCAGTAAAAACACAATAAATATTAAAAAATACATCTCTGCACTGTAGCCAAGATCAAATTGTAGCCAAGATCAAATATTCCACACAATTTTTTATTCAAAATACACCAAAAGCGGATATTCATCAATATTAATTTTCAGCTATTTTTTGCTGCGACATACAAAACATCCTTAATTTATACTTAAAAAATGTATTGACAAATATTTAAGAACAAATTCAATAGCGATTATGATATCCGTTGGGGATTCACAGTGTGTTCTAGCGAGCATAATCGTGGTGGCGTTGAAAGGGATGTTGATGAAGGTCACTGAATTCGGGAAATTCTGGAGACTGGACAAGACGGACGCCGGCATTTGGGCCGTCACTTTTGTCATCGTAGTTTTTTTCGACGTAGAATACGGTTTATTGGTCGGCGTGCTTCTCTGCGTCGTGCGATTACTCGTCCTCGCAGTGCGTCCTTACACGTGCAAGCTCGCTCTTGCGCCCGGCACCGAACTCTACCTGGATGCCAGGAGATACAAAGGAGTATGGAGAACTTATAGTTCAACTTTCCTCGGCATTGTTTCATTTCTCTAATCTCTATCTCTTTTATGATACTTTAATATTTTGATACTCTAATTTTTTGACACTCTAATTCTAATAATGTATGTAAATTTGTAAATTAAAAGAAATGATGAATTATAATTCAGAATTGAAGTTTGAATTTTCGGTTTAATGTTCGAGCAAAATCATAAAATCTGTGGATTATTCAAATAATTTGAATCTTCCTACCGCTGAGAACGATTTACTGAATTTAACGAATCGTTTGAATAGCAAATTAATGACAATAAATATTTTCAGACCGTAGAAATTCCCGGTATTAAAATCTTCCATTATTCCGGCAGCCTGAACTTTGCGTCCAGGCAATATTTTTATGAGGAAGTATACAAGATTGCGGAGTTAGTGCCTCGAAAAGAACTAAACAGACGTCTGAAAATCTCATGTAATGGAGAGACGACGGAGGAAATTAAAAAGGTAATTTAAGGAAATTAAAAAGGTAAATTTAAAGAAAATAAAAAGGTAAATTTAAGGTATATAATTTAAGAAAATTCAGTGAAAAAAATCTGCGTAGAAAAAAAATTAAATTATCCGGCGCATAATTTTATATTCATTCAAGATAAATAACTATCTTTATCATATTGATTTATATTATTTCAACTATCTTTCTAACTTTACGCTCGATTCTTAATTTATACAGTTACGCATTCTCATATTGGATTTCACCGCGTTGTCGCATGTCGATCTGGCAGGTGCGAATGCGATACGGAACATCATCGATGATTATTGCAGCATAGGAGTGTCTGTTCATATAACCGGTTGTTCCGGTAAGTATATCTATATAAATCAATCTTCGACGTAAATTTATATTCATGTAATTTCGATCAATAAGAGGTTAATTATATGCAAAATTTAATCAATGTTATTTATCATACATGACATTTCCTTCCCGATTAATATCTTAATGCATCCTAAACACGAAGAAGGCTCGTACCTGAATCATCGCATTTCTATTATTACAAATAAATAAACGATTTCTTTTTTTACTTTTCTATAGCATAAAAATCCATATTTATCGAAATTACACCGGCTTTGATATCCAGAGTCAATTTCTTAAAAAGAAAAATTTAATAAATCGCGATTTTGTGCAGGTCCAGTTTATGAAACAATGAAGAAAAGCAACATAACCGAATATAACGAGAATTTTTTCGCCATGTTTCCCACCGTTGCCGACGCAGTTCATTTTGCACTTTCTCACAACGAGGTGCCATCGATACCTACATGGAATACTAGGATTCACGATGAGAACTGCCTTAGTAGACTATGAGACTTACATAGCGTATATACAACGAAAAAGAAACGAATAGTTTTTCTTTATTATCGCGATTCTTATTTATAAACGTTAATACAAATTTAAGTACTGATATTTAGGTACAAGTTAAACTTGAACAAGAAAGGAGTAGAATATAATAACATAACTAAATAAATAAAAATTATTGACTAGCAATAGCAATATTGCGATTCATTATTATATTAGCAGAAGCTTAATGTGGAACTTTATATAAAAATTTACAAACAAAGAAGAAATGATAATGTTTGATGTCTCATCGAATATCATATGATAATTAAAGTCATCAAGAGATAGAATAACAAATTATAAAATTCACATAAGAATTCTTCATACGAAGAATTCATATAAAACGAAGTTAACATTAATAAATAATAAATAATATATAGAAATAAGTAGAAAAGTTTTGTAATAATATTTTTTGCCATGTTGTAATAGCAAAATTAATAATAAATAGAAATTATTAAATAATAATTATATTAGTAATTATATATTAATATAATTATATATTAGTTAAGTTATATTAGTATTAACTTTAATATCAGTATTATATTTAGTATTATATTAGTATTAACTAACATGTTATACACATATCTCTAGATGTACACTACAAAGAGCAAAAATTTATTTTTGAAATTTATCTACGAAAATATTTTTAATCTATCTTTGACCTGACTCATTCAATAAAGCCAATATCTTATGCAGGTCGTAGTATGGATTCATACGGTGATTTTTCCAATAATATATCTAGCAATGAATTCTTTTTCAATCTCAATTATTTCATAAAAAGTATTATTTTTGTCGTTATTATCAATTGCCGCCTGAATATATTATATAATTATATAGTATATATAGTTATATATTATATATATTATAATTATATATTATTCAGCAAAATGTAAAAAAATTAAGAGATTTCTTTAGAAAAATATCGTGTATGAGAAAATTAAATTAACTCAAAATTAGCAAATTAGCACCATAGCGCGATTGCAAGGAGGAAACAACATTTCCTTCTTCCCAATTACTATATTTCAAATTAAATATAATAATTAAATATATTAAATATAAAATTAAATTAAATATAATAAATTAAATTACATTAACAAAAACGAACATTTCGGTTCATGTTTTGATCCATCTTTAGCGACATTAACAATACGCAGAGTGTTACAGAATGTTATACGCGATGACGCATTAAATTATAAAAATATCTGTCCTCGACGCGCAGTTACGCTAAATTGTATCTCGCAGAGATTAGGCAAGCACACTATTTCAAATAATTCTTCCAATTACACCTGCGACATTTTAGATTTTCTTAGTTACAAAAGCAGAGTAGCTAAATCTGATAACTTTTTTAACGTTGAAATCTAATCTGGCAGCAGAATTTCTCTCAGCACATCAGGTTTTTAAGAATGTTTTGTACTTATTTTCAAAATAAATTAAATAAATAAAATATTGGGAAATAAAATATTGAGAATTTAACGAAAATTGTACAGAATGTCCTTATATATGTTTAGAATCTTCAGTACAATTTTTAAATCGATTCACTAAAGCGTTCATATTATAAGGATTTTAATTTGTACCGAATTAACATGTGTTCTTATAAGAAACGTATAACCACGTCGATTCAAATGACAAAAATACATGGAAATAATTTTCAGAATTTGTTTAAAATTTGCGAAAGTTTAGATACAGAGGAAATATCTGAGCAAATAATATAATACAAGTACTAACTGGTTAAAAAGATATTAAATATAATTCAATTAAGTTAGCCATGTATCTGTCACAAGGCGAAATTCTCTGCCAAAAGTTAATCATTTCGATTCACAAAATTCGGAATATTTCAGTAAAAACGCAATAAATATTTAAAAATACATCTCTGGACTATAGCTAAAATCAAATTGTAATATTCCACACAATTTCTTACTCAAAATACCCCAAAAATGGATATACTCGTCAATATTGATTTTCAGCTACTTTTTGCTGGGATTGTACAAAACATTCTTAAGTAATTTGTAGCTAAATAATCCAGAAATGGCTATTTCGCCAATTTCATGAATTTATTATGGGGAAAGTTAACTTTTTCAAATATTTCTGCCAATGGCATCATATAGTACTAGTTTTCATCTTTCAAATCCGTATGACATACTGGCGAAATTCTGCGGTCAGATTCGTTTTCAGCATCAAAAAATCAGATTCACCTAACTCTGCTTTTTGTAACTGACCCGCAAACCGAAAATATAAGACATTTGTTTACATATCTATGTTTGTTATTATCAAATCAACGGAGTTTGTTCTCGATTGAGTTTATGTTTACGATCTATCAACCGAGAACACATTTATATATTTCATCATTGAATTTCAAGTCACCATGAGAGATATACAACAGCATACTGTTATCAATTTGTGAAAAGCGTAATTATATTTAATGTGAAATATACGAGTAGTTAAAAAGAAGGAAGTGTTGTTTCTCCTTGCGCTCTAATTATCGCGTTATAACTCTAATTTGCCAATTTTGATTTAATTTTCAATTATCATTATTTAAGCCAATTTCAATTTTATTTAATCGTAAGAGAACAAAGACAAGAATAAATTAAATTTATATCGCGAGAGATGAAAGTAAAAGATTGGACTGCGAAAGAGATTTCAAATAGAACAAATTTCGAAAAAAATTAGTTTATATAGTCTCGTGCTATTACGCGAATATTTGCGACAAAATTTTTCAAAACAATCCATCAATTTTTATCAAATTTAAATAATTTGAAAAACTTTTAATTATTTCGAATGTAATTTTCACTCGTTTTTTACGAGCTTTCTGACGGCGTTATATATTCAAAAATTTTTTTAAATTCTATTAAAATATTTTAAATTAAAAAATGTTGAAGCTAAATTTTCACTTTACTTGTAAAAATAAATATATGCAAAGTACAACTTGAAAAATTACAATAATTTAGACTTTCTTAGGAAATATAATCAGAAATAGATATCAACGGATATTGAGAAAAAATCGTCTATATTATTATAAAATTATTAATTTTAATAGTTTTATACGTAGACAGTATCTATCTTCGCGAGATTTTCGTAACGAAATCACGTTAATATGTATTTGCTTATTCGAAAAGTAACTGAAATGGCAGTTTGTTTACTTAACGACATATTTGGTATACAATTGTGCAATTATAATAAGTAGCATAATAATTAAGAGCTCAAATTGTAACACAATATTCTTCTTTTTACATTAACATAATAATAACTTCTACTCATGTACAACTCCAAACAGAAAACAGTCTCCTTCTGTAAGACGGATCTTCGTCTAAAATGGCTATCTCATTCCATTTAAACTCATGTCCCATAATTCTATGGCAAGAGATAACAGACAAACGTACGTCTGTCGTTTTAATTATGTGTCAACTGATTATGATTATATGAACATGTGTTGACTTATTATATATTAAAAATTCTTTCATTTTTAATTGTAGCTACCATTAACCTAGCGCTGTGGTTTTTTTTGCTTTTTCCCTATTTTATTTTGATAAATTAAATTTTCCAATAAAAACACGATATATATAATTTGTTAAATAATTTCAAGAGACGTATAAAGAATCAAGAAAAATTTTAATCGCACGAAACAAAAGATTCAGTAGTTATATTTAAATTGATCATTAGTTAAAATGGCGCAATAATTAATAAAATTACTAATTTAATAAATTAATAATAAATTTTAATAAATTAATAATTTAATAAATTAATAATTAATAAAATTATTAGAAATAATTAATGAAACTTTTAGAGAAAAAATATCTTCCATTTATCTATAAAAAAATTAAGTCACAATCACAGGAAGATAATATTAAATATTTTAACCTGTACTGTTATTTCATTAATACGCAAAATGATTATAAATTGATAAAGAATACTCTGCTCTTCTTCCACTCTATTTCTACAAGATTTTGCTCATTTTGAAAATCCTGACAAACAAAAACGAGAATACACTAGATTTCTTCTGTATCGTAATTAGGTGTGTAACGCGACAATCGCTATTTTCGCGCATATTAAACACCTGTATCGCGTTTCCCACGCCGATTCATTACGCATGCAACACGTGCGCGAAAGAAGTCGCGTCCGAGATATACGACGTACTGCCATGGGATATCTAGCGGCGTTTAACAGCGTGACAACGAAGGAATCGCTATAGAGAGGTTCTTCTTTTAAGAACGCCAGAAATTATACCGAACGTAGAAATTTGGCATTCTTTTCTTTCTTTTAACGTTGCGCACGTGCACGTTAATCGTCAATTATTCGCATCGTCGAGATAGTCCGTATGTGTTTTCGAAAGTCATGTCTTGTCGTTTAAATCAAAAGATACAGTCTCGTGCCAAGTCACGTGCAGCGAGATGATCATATCTGCCAAGTGCAAAAAACTAACAAAAGTTACACGTGGCTCATTAAATACCACGATAATTAACACTGCTTAATGAACACAAAGATTATTGAGGAAACGATATGTATGTATTATAATTATACAGAAAAATATTCGATTATCCGCGATTATTTGCATACCGTCTCAATCAAACATTTGAATTGCTCTAATAATGCACGCATATAAATTTACATAAGTGTCCAATAGCATAAGATAAATTTCTCACACGTATATTTTTTATTACGAAATTTTAAAATCTTTTGATATAATAGTTTCATTAAATTAATATTAATTATGATTGATAAGGAAATAATAATTTACTAAACAAAAAATATAAATGGATCGACTCACCGTTATACTGCTTTAATATTATCACTGAATATTATTATTATTGAATATTATTATTGAACTGGCATAGTATTACTGTTATATTGATATCGTATTATCATTGTATTTTCACTGCCACTATAATATTGCTGCAATGCCATTTCAATCCCACTGTTGTATTTCTGCTATCACTTTGCTATTTGTTTCCCTAAACATTAAATTAAAACGTTTAGTAATATACAGGGTGTCCCAAAAGTCCCGGACCAGTCGAATATTTCATAAACTATGCACTTTAGAAAGAAATGTTTCAGACAAAAGTTGTATGGCTTGAAGTCATCAGATAGTGGCAATGATTTGACATGGGAGAGTCATTTGAAAATCACATGAAGATCACCGTCAATTTCTTAAATGGAACTCCCTATTTTTTATTACATATTCGTGTAGCTTATCTCGAGAGCTTTCCAAAACACTATAATTAAGTTAGTTTTCATTAAGTACTTTCCGAATTATGAGGCTTGAAATCATTTCTTACTTTCTAACTTTACATAAACCGTAAAATATGTTGTAAAATATTCATTTTTCAATTATCTTACTTTAATAATTTTATGTACAAAATAATGAGAGAAATCAATTGAT